CATCAATGAGAAAAATCCAATTCAGAAGACGTTGCATATGTTGTGTAGAATAATGAAACAAGCTTTGGCAAAACTTGACAATCATACAACTTACATACACACAATGGCGGACTCCGGAATTTTTATAGGGGTAGGTTAAATAATTTTTTTTATAGAGGAGATATATTATTAGCCCTTTTCCTCTTGAAACAAAAATGTAAATAAAATTTTATAAATCAAACAAAGTCACATTTCAAGCAAATATAACACAAAGAAGTACAAAATATAAATAAAATCTACTTTTTTTGAAGAATGAATAAATAGTTTTTCCTCTCTTTACTAGTCTATTCTCATCATGTGACATGATATCCTAACAAGAAATACTAGACACCAAAAATCATATATATTAATTAATAATTCAAGTTGCAAAAATAAAACATATATCAACAATCTCCAAAAGTTTTCACCCAAACCCTAAATCATAAAAACTTAACCCATTGAAGATAGGTTTGTACAATTTTTTAGAGGAGGAAATCTATTTCCTCTAGGCTCTCAAGGTTCAAATATGGCGTTTTGGGTGGCTAGAATAAATTTTTTGATGTTTGTTCTTTGTGGGTGTAGCATAATATCAGTACGATTAAAATAGCTCAAGTTGGTACACCCTTAGCGTGAGTTCTGCCTCTAATCAAATTTATATAGGTTCGAATTGATGTTTATTATTTCCTATATGCTTCAGGAGAAGTGGGATTATTTTAAATAGAAGGCTAAGCTATTATTTACTTTACCTAGATTGACCTATTATTAGATTATTATATTAGCGATAAAAAAAAAGAGAAAAACAATGCATGTGTGGGCTATATTTATTTGATGCGGTGGGCTAAATATTTATTGGAGTAGAAATAAACTTATTAAATTTAAACTATATTTAATATTTTAGAAATCTTCCCCTAGGCCGGAGCCCACTCTAGCATAGGCATAAGTCCGTCCTTGCTTAACACACACGTATGTACGAAAATATTTTCTCATACTAGATAGTCCGACGAAGATATCATAACAACCTTGAACGTGTGTGTTATGGATTTTCAATATAACAACAAAAACATTCTTTTTATGCAAGTAATATTAAGGAGGTGAATTAGAATTAGAATAAGTTGCGAGCTTGATCTCCATTGAAGTATGCATAACAGCACGAGTACATTCATCGTGCACCATGGCAGATTTTAATAAGAAACAAGTTAGATCCATTTCTATAGTGTATTTATATAAATTTGATTAAAATATTGCTTAATGGGTCCAAAAGGAAAGAAGTGAGAGATTTTTGGTAGGCCAATTTTGAATATATGGGGACATGATATATTTAATTATTTGGTGGAGAAGGTGAGATCGTTCTCCAAAATTTTCTCCTTTGCCTTGGATGCCCACCGACGAAGTGCTTCATGTATCCATCCATGGTAAAAGCCAAAGAAGCCACCGACACAAATCAATGGCCAAAATGTGTCACTCATACATCACTTAATATGCGTGAGACAATTACCATTTCTTTCTAATGTTCTTTTGTGGTGAGATGCTTCTTGGTGGACCATGATAACGGAGAAATATGCTCAATTTGACTCCACATAAGATTAAAGGGTTGAATTTCATTTTGAGGAAATTTGGATTTGGAAAATCATTATATTTAGGCCCACTTTTATATATATATATATATATATATGGAGCTTCAGTTGAGGGATCTCTCAAATTAGCTTATTTGAGGGACATTCTTGTAGGGTCCAATCCATATTGTATTTTACTAATTCAAACTGTTTATTTTGTAGATAATCATTCAAAGATCATCTCTATAAAAAAATCACTTGAATCTGATATCACTTGACCACTCAATTGAGTTATTTAAATTTTAGTATTTTCTTGAAGCTTTGTATTCATTGATTTTGTAGGACATAATTGGATATCGAAACGGTTTCCAATTTGTCTAATTTTTTGCAAGGATGATTTATGAATGTAGACTTAAAAAATAATTTGAATCGTTGAATTTTTTTTTATATGGGACCCTAAAAGATGTCCCTCAATTGAAAGAGACTATATATATAATTGATGGCAAATTAGGTTAGAAGATAGGACAAGACATTTTGAGTGGACTGTGTTGAGCAATTTTAGAGAATGAGAATTGGAGAATCCTCCAAACCTTGTTTTGTATATGAACACTGGCAAAAGGCTCCACCTTCTTTTTTTGACATTGACTTGGAAGATTTTATAAAAGTTCTATCCGTTTTGGTTTTTTCAATACTCCCATGTAACACATTTTCCTTCCCATGAAAAGTTTCAACCACACTCCTAGTTCTTCCATTCCATCTTGAGCACTCATAATCATAGATATATAACTACATTGCTTGGCTCGTGTCAATTCATCCTAATCAAGTAAAATGAGAATACCATAAAAGTGAGAGAAAATGATGGAGAATTTCTCGATGATAATGAAACAAATTTACCGAATTAGATATATAACTAGAATATTCTAGAATGTGGCGGCAATATATACTCTCTTACTCACATATGCTCATCACGTATTGTTCACGTGATGAAATGATTGATCTTTCATATCTACTTATCACGTGTTGCTCATGTAATTAAGTGATTGTAAAACGAAACATAAATGTTATACCTATACCTATCACATGATTAAGTAATCTATATTAATATATCATATGAATGTATGTACATAGCCTAGGTACATACGCACAATACAATACATACGTGCCCCTACATACTCATCAACCCAACTTCTAGCTAAATTAATTTCACAAAATTAATGACAAAGTGTGAGAGTGACGCACGCATGGGCCAAAAAGAGATGGACCAGACCAGCATTAGAAAATAGATAGGCCGAAAGCTTTGAAGCCGTACGTCGTTTCTTCTATTATCTGCACTCTGCATTTTATTTAGTATGTTTTATTTTATTTATGCCTTTAGCTTACGTGTGACATTAAAATAATCATAAAAATTAAATTATTATTCAATATCGAATGACGCAGTTCTTTCCAAAATCCGAAATGAAATTTTGGGTTTGAATTTTCAGACGGTCTTCTTAGGCGCGAGGGATTCCACATTAATGATGCAATTCTTTCAATATAGTTCCTAATGCAATCATGTTGAATGGTGTGGAAAAGTTTGACATTCAAGTTGGAATATTTCATTGCTTTGTTTTGATTGTATAATATTATTCAAGTGATTTGGTGTTGTCATTTGTTTCCACATATGGGTTTGTATGATGGGAATGTTTTACCAATCCATAACATATCAAGGATTTTATATAATTGTGAGATCTTGATTGACATGAGTCTAAATTGAAACTTCTCGTTTATAGATGTTTTGTTTGTCGACATATTATAGTTACGTGTATATGAACGAGTACAAGTAAATTATTAAAGTCCATATACATCCGTGACTGATTATATAACGATATTATTTTTCCATTTTGAATGTTTTGATTCAGAAACTTATTTAAACTAACAAACTTATATTTTGGTCATTCATTATCACTTTTTCTTAGGTCTAGTGCCTAAAGCTCACATCATAACAAATTAGAAATTGGATGGATAATTTCCTTTATTCAAAGAGGAAAAAAAGGAACAAAAAACCCAACCAACCAAACACCACCACCAACAACAAAAAAGAAGGCATTTTATCTTCCTATAATGCACACTTTTTCTTAGGTCTAGTGCCTAAGATCACATCACAACAAAGAATCCAAAAAGAGAAACTAATCACAAAAGAAAAAGAAAAAAAAAGAAAAAAAAGAAAAGATTCTTTGTCTTAATAATATGTGGTGGCACTATGGACTATGGAGTTATGGAGAATTGGCTAAATGGCAAGCAGCGCATGAAATGAAGAAGGTGGTGGTGCCATTATACACAGGAAAAGGACCAAACCGTCCCAATCTAGAAGAAGCAGTCCTGGTTTAGGGATAGAGGGGCATATATTCCCACGGGTGACTTATGAGCCTATCCTAAGTGGTTGTATTTTTCTTCTTCTTGCATGTGAAGTTTCAATGTACTTCATGTGAAGCCTGTCATTGTATTGTAGCCACCCAACACAAAAATTTAACCATAATTTATGGCAAGTTGCTTTCATTTGATGTAATAATGATTTCTTATTCTGTAATATCTAATATACGGATTTGTGGTATAACTCGTTTACGTGTTATAGTACGAGTGAATAACAATGTTAAGATTTCCCACTTACATTATAAGACGTGGATGAGTTATATTGATATCTCATATATTAAACATGATCATTAATTTTAATTAGAATATGAAAATTTAACACGTCAGATTGTGCGGAAAGAAAAAATTCCTTTTATTATGAGACAAATTCCTTTTAGTATAAAATTAGACGTTGATGTGATTAAAAGATGTACAATGAACCTTTAATATTGCAAATTATATGTTGAGCGAAAAAGAAAAAGAATGTCGACATAAAAAAGAAAGAAAAGGGTAAGCACAAGCAGCAGAAACAGAAAGGGACAACCAATCAATCAGTAAGGTCCAACAAAAGTTTTGATCATCCTACGGTATAAATATACATAATCATGTTAAAAGTATTAGGTGTTTTGGATAAGTGTTTGATTAATTTTTTGTGATCGAGATGCTTTGTGTTTGTGATGTGTGGGTTCCTGGACCTTGGGGGCCCATAAGCTTTACTAGGCATATTTAAACATGGAGGGGCCCTGATTGAAGGCCACTTTAAACGAAGTGATGGTTTCTTGTCACGAATAAATATGGTTTAATCATTTATGAAAGGCATAAAACGACGCCGTAGAATGCAAAAAGAATTAGTGAGTAAAGACTGGTCCTCTATTGAAACCATGACTAAGAACATCAAAAAACTTGTTTGGTACACTAATTATCTCGCCAAAAAGCATTGCTATGTGATATTGTGCTCTAGATTAGCCGACGAATGTGACACAAAGTTAGCTTCACGATACACACGAACCAATTATAGATGTCGGCATTGAGAAAGTGAAAATGGAATATCCCGAACAAGTGATGTTATTCGCCATGCTAGGAAGTATGTTTAGTGAGAATATAATGGTGATTGGATTCGTTTTTAACTAATCCTGAAATGGGTATTGGAGTTATCTTGATTCATGACTTTTCCTTGCCTATAATGACACATGAATGTTTGAACTAATCCGATTCTTGATTTTCTATGCGTTTACATTGCAATAAGTCGATATTTCGTAAATATGAAGTACTAATATATCCACGAAATTTTGTGTGGGGGTGGCTATTGGTGGGCTTCTACAAAGCCCAACTGCCCATCAAAAAACCCACTAGCCCTTCAATTCAAACCCAGGCTTTGCTTGGCAGCCCATTACCCTGGCTTAACTCACCCGTGAACCTCCCTTGTTGGGTTCACCTGTCGTTGCCTTCTTCGGCTAAATCAGTTGTCTGTTCTTTCACAGTGACAGACTCACACATTCCCATCGACCTACCTTCCCAGCTTGGCAGTTTCAGCTCAATCGTTCATCCTTGCGTTGCCTTCAATTCAAACCCAGGCTTTGCTTGGCAGCCCATTACCCAGGCTTAGCTCACCCGTGAACCTCCCTTGTTGGGTTCACCTGTCGTTGCTGTCTTCAGCTGAATCAGTTGTTTGTTCTTTCACAGTGACAGTCTCACACATTCCCATCCACCTACCTTCCCAGCTTGGCAGTTTCAGCTCAATCTTTCATCCTTGCGTTGCCTCTAAAGCGCCAAAAAGGTATTTCTTCTTTGGCATCATAGTTTTCCATTTCTTATTCTTCGTTTATACTCTCAAAGCGAGAATAAGCTTTTTCTTTTTGTTGCCTTTATATATATATAGAGGTTCAGTTTCAGTATATCGATTATATTTATATTCAATTTTCAATGAAGTATCAAGATTTCAGCAAGCAAAATTGGTCGAACTACTAAAAAATTTGAGGTTTCCAACACTCCCTTGTCTCATAAGAGCACTTCCAGCAGTTTGCCCCTTGCCATGGCAAGGGAGCTGGGGCAGCTACTATTCACGTGGATAGTGGCTGCCCTTGCAAAATAGCAACATGTGTTTTCAGCAATTGCCCTTTGCCATGGCAAATACTATTCTTTTTTTTTTCACAACTTTTTTTACTTAAACAATTAATTTGGATAATATTTTCGGATAAGATTTTTGGGTTCCTATGTGTCAATACTATTCATATCGGATAAGATTTTCGGTTTCAAATTTCATATAAATTTCAAAATTCAAAATTCAGAGACATTTCAAAATCAAAATTCAGATAAATTTCAAAATTCAGATAAGATTTTCACCCTATAAAATTGTGCCACGTGTCATCTCTATTTGTCTAAATTTTTCTATAAAACCAGAGGCTCAGCTCTTACCTCCCACACCAGATCTTCTCTAAATTTCCATTTCTCATATTTTAGGTTTCATTCTCCATTCTCAATGGCAGACATGCAAGAGGTTTTGGAGAGGCAAGAGCGAGAAATTAGAAAAAGAAGGCGTAGACGAGCTGCAAGCAAAAGGGCGCAGAGAGAACTAGATGATCAACTTGCCATAGCAGTGGCTTTGCTTGACGAAGAAAACCGGAGCCGCCGTGGTTCACAAAAAGGCCGTGGCCCGAATGTGGACAGACATAGGCATTCTCGGGGTAAGAATCTTCTCGAAGATTATTTTATCCCAACTTCTTTGTAGTCTAATGTTGATTTTCGAAGACGATATAGAAAATGCAAGAAAATATTGGAAATGCAAGAAACATTAAAAAAAATATTAGAAATGCAAGAAATATTAACAAAATATTGTAAATGCAAGAAATATTAACAAAACATTGGAAATGCAAGAAATATTAACAAAATATTGAAAATGCAAGACATATTAACAAAATATTGGAAATGCAAGAAACATTTAAAAAAATATTGGAAATTCAAGAAATATTAACAAAATGCATTGAAAAACATGCATTTAAAAAAAAAAAAAAAAAAAAAAAAAAAAAACATTAAAATTAATAAAACGAAAATTACAAATAAGTTATCTCATTGCTACGATTTTCCCCACTTATATGGTTGTCCCTCGCTTTTCCCCAACTCTTTATTAAGAATTTTCCACCTGCTAGACAATGCCATTTCCATACGGGTCGAACCCGATCTTTCACAAAATTCAGTATTTCTCCACATACGACAAAATTTCATCTCATTGCCCATGATGGGATAATGACTAATTTGGACCCAACACTCGCACAACAAAACATCTTCCATGATGCTCCATCCTCCTCCGGTTTCGATAGAAGAAGCCATAAGATGATAAATAAAAATAAAATTTGAAAGTGAATAAAATGTTGAGTAGAAAGTAAATAATAGTTGAAGGAGAAGAAAATGTATGAGGATTTGGTGTTAAAAGTGAAGAGTATTGGTTGGTATTTATAAAAAAAAATTCATTAATTTTTGGGTATTTTTTTCGAATTTTTTTCATATTTTTGCTTGATGTGGGTGTTATTTTCAGCCCAGCCCCCTTTAGCCATGGTAAGACAAATGGTTGGAAGTGCTCTAATGATCAGTAATTATTAAAGGACCTTTTAGTAATTATGGATATATTTTTTTTTCAAGAACTAGGAACTAGCTTTTTCAATGGTTTGGCTTGCAGTTCTTAGTATGTCTTGCAGTTTGAGAAGCCAGGAGGTTGCTGATGCAACATGGAGGAATATGGGAGGATTGTTTGAAGTGGGTAGGATTATTTAGTCCTATAAATTTAGAGAACTGTATTGGATAATGCAAATGCAATGGTCTTTTTTATTATTTTATGTTTTCAGCTAAAAGCCTGTAATCTTTTTGAGTACATACCCCCACCTCAATCCTCACTGAAACCACCACCAAATCAATCCCAAGCTGCCTCATTCTTTTCGTTGAGTTATGTAGTTATGGTTTGTCATGGGCTCTCTTTATTTATTAGACTACTTCCTTTCAGAATATTGAGGGGCATTTACAAATTACAATGGCCTTTCAAAACTTTTATATTCCTAGACAAAAAACTCATGGTCTATTCTAATTTATCAAGAGTTATAGATGAGGTTTTGGATTTGTATTATTAAATTCTTTCATCACACTTGTATTCTGTCCTGTTTACTTAGGAATCGTTTGTGGAGTGCCCTCCAGTGGAAGATCAAATCCAAGAGAGAGAAAAAGAAAGAGTGCAGCATCAATGAAGGCTGTAGTGATAACCACTCCAGGTGGACCAGAGGTCCTCCAACTACATGAAGTTGAAGACCCAGAACTCAAAGACAATGAGGTCCTAATAAAAGTTGAGGCTACTGCTCTGAATCGAGCCGATATTCTTCAGAGGAAGGGCATGTACCCACCACCCCCAGGTTCCAGCCCATACCTGGGTCTCGAATGTTCTGGAACCATTGAGGCCGTTGGGAAGCAAGTCTCCCGCTGGCAAGTCGGTGACAAGGTGTGTGCTCTTCTTAGCGGAGGAGGGTATGCTGAGAAGGTGGCTGTTCCAGCTGGACAAGTCCTTCTTGCTCCACCTGGTGTTTCTTTGCAGGATGCTGCTAGTTTTCCCGAGGTTTCATGCACTGTTTGGTCGACTGTGTTTATGATGAGTAGGCTATCTGCTGGCGAAACATTTTTGGTTCATGGGGGCTCCAGTGGAATTGGTACATTTGCAATTCAGATGGCTAAATACTGGGGAGCAAAGGTGTTTGTCACAGCAGGAAGTAAGGAAAAGTTAGCTTTTTGCAAGAATCTTGGAGCTGATGTATGCATCAATTACAAGACACAGGATTTTGTTGCTCGGGTAAAGGAAGAAACGGGTGGCAAAGGTGTTAATGTTATCTTGGATATCATAGGGGCAGAGTACTTTCGGCGGAACCTTGACAGCTTAAGTTTTGATGGGAGGCTTTTTGTTATTGGGACGATGGGTGGTGCTGTTACAGAAATAGACCTTCGCGTTGTGCTTTCGAAGCGCCTTACCATCCAAGCTGCCGGCTTGCGATACAGAAGTCCAGAAAACAAAGCAGCGATTGTTAGGGAGGTGGAAAACAATGTGTGGCCTGCAATTGTGGCTGGCAAGGTGAAACCCGTGGTCTACAAGTATTTTCCATTATCTGAAGCAGCAGAGGCTCACCTGCTCATGGAAAGTAGCAAGCACATTGGAAAGATTCTACTTCTTCCTTGATGATATGAATGTTAATTATTTGAACTCCAGTGAACAACATGGTTCAGAGTTAATATGCATATGTTATGTTGTACTCTATAATTCGGTTTGTAAGTTTGTGAGTTGACTTCATCTTACTCAAAAGATTCACAGAAGACCAACCTGTCTTCTTTTAAAATCAATGCCGGTTACTGGATTGTCCGATTTGGCCCATAGTTGGTCATAAGTTATAACTGACAGTAATTTGACTACTTTCACTGTCATTCTTAGCCTGCACTGTCTCTTGCTTTGGTTCTGAATAATCCCCATTGCTTTCAGATGCAGGTGCTTCACTGGTCTCCTTGACTTCAGGAACTTCCTGAGAACCTGTCTTCTTTTAAAAGCAACAGATCTGACGTTAGGGCAAGTGTATTATGCTTAGGACTAATGGGGAGAGACATTGGAAAACATCACAGGCATTGATTTTCACTTAGATCAATAGCCAAAAAAGAGCTTGCACTTTGTTGTCAACTATGATGGAGGGTCAACTATGTTGTCTAACAGAGTAGACAAATGAAAGAACTGGAGAGATATAAGTTACCATTCCAGATATCTATCGAATTGAATTTTAATAGCATCACTACCACTAACTTAGACAACCAAAAGAAAGAACAATAACCCTCATTCAAGTTCCGTACGAATGATGTGAGTTCTACGCAAATTGGGGTGGGCTTCTTCAAAGCCCAGCTGCCTATAAAAAACCCCACTAGCCCATCAATCAATTTCAGGCCTTGCTTGCCTAGACTTCCCAACCAGCAGCCCAGCCCATTACGCAGGCTTCTCTTAGCTTACCCGTGAACCTCCCTTGTTAGGTTTTTCACATGTGTTGTTGCCTTCTTCTTCAGTTGAATCAGTTGTTTGTTCTTTCAGTGAAAGCCTCAAATTCCCACTTATTTCCCAGTTTGGCAGTTTCAACTCAATCTTCCAGAATCCAGCCTTGAATTGCTTCCAAAGGGCCAAAAGGTATTTCTTCTTTGACATCTTAGTTTTCCTTTTTTTTTTCTTCTTCATGTTTATAGTCTCATTTCTTAGTTATAATCTCAAAGTGAGAATAAAATTTTCTTTTCTATTTAATTTTGGGTATATATGTTATTTATACAGATATATATCAGTGTCAGTTTCAATTTTCAGTGGAGTTTGAAGAAAAATTGGTCGAACTATAATTTTTTTTAAGGTTTCTGTTGAAAAAGCAAAATTAATTTTTTAAACAGTGGGCAGCTGCTTACCCCTTTTCTCATAATAAAGTCCTCATTTCTAGTTTAAGTGTTACTTCATCTTAGTTGCTTAGTTCGAAACCAACACATCCCTTCTCCCAAGTTTTCGTTTTTTTTGAAGTCATAGATTATATTATAAAGGGTTTGGTAATCAGGAACTCAGAGTTTGAGCTGAAATTTAAATTTACAAGTCTAATATAGGACATAAAGAGGAGTGAGAAATAAAGTTTTGTTTAGGAAATAGGGTTTTGGAGGAAGATTGATGTGAAAATGTGAAAGTAAAAAGTTTCACATTAGAAAGTTGAGAAACCTAGAAAGGGCTTATAAGAGCATCTCCACCCATAAGAGCTAAGTCTAGGGCCAGGGCAAGCAAGGGCTGCCACTATTCACGTGAATAGTGTCAGCCTTGCGATTTGTGGTTCCACCCATGAGGGCTAAGTCTAAGGCAAATACTATTCATTTTACTTTATTTCCTTTTTTTTTATACTTTAAACCATTAATTTTGACAATCTTTTGTAATTAAATTTTTGGATAAGATTTTTGGTTGTCACGTATCCATTATTTTTCAGAAAAGATTTTCGGATGAGAATTTAGGTTGCCACATGTCTTATTCCAGATAAATTTTTTGGATATTCATTAAAAAAAAATTATAATATCAGATTTAAGATAAGATTTTTACCCTCTAAAATTGTGCCACGTGTTCCATGTCAGATAAGATTTTCAGATATTTAAAAAAAAATTATAATATCATATTTCAGATAAGATTTTCACCCTCTAAAATGGTGCCACGTGTCATCTCTATCTTTTGAATCCCTCTATAAAACTACACTATCAACTCATACATCTCAAATCATCTCTTATCTATTCATTCATTTCTCAGATTTTACAAAACACATTCTACTCTCAATGTCAAACTTGAGAAGGGTATTGGAGAGGCAACAGAAAGAAAGGGAAGAAATCCGGCGTAGACGTGCTGAAGAAGATCGGGACGCTGATGAAGAACGGGAACAAATGCTTGCAGTAGCGGTGTGTATGCTTAATCAATCAAGGCAACACCGTCGTCGTCGTGCCCCGAATGTGAACAGACGCAGGGATTCTCGGGGTAAGAATCTCTTGGATGATTACTTTATCCCAAATTCGTTATATCCTGTTTCTAAGTTTTGAGAGATATATAGAATGCAGCCACATTTGTTCCAAAAAATCATGCATAATATTTGTAATTACGACACATACTTCATTCAAAAGCATGTGATAGGGTCATGACTAACGTTCACCCAAGATTGACCACGCAATATCTTCCTGAGTTGTCCACGAGCCTCCGGCTTCGACAGAAGATGCCATTTGTTTTTTTTTATACAAATGGAAAGTAGTAGAAAAATGTGAGTGGAGAGTAAAAAATATTGGAAGGAGAAGAGTTTGCATAGAGAATTGGTGTGGAAAGTGAATAATGTGAGTGGAGAGTAAATAAAATGGTTAGGTATTTATAGGGAAAAAATACAGAATTTTTTGGTATTTTTTAATAAAAAATTTCAGAATTTTATCGATTTTTTATGCAATTTTTTAAGCCAAAAAAAGGAGGACCGTCAGATTTCTGGAAAGAAACTGATCGGAGAGTCCCGGTTGCGACACGTGGCACATGCCCGTTGGATTCTGTCAGTGGTGATGTCACACTGACGTCAGCGAGCGGAAGTCAAATTTTTTTACCGTTGGCGTTTGAAACTCACGCGCCAATGGTAAAAAAAATTTGAAACTCACGCGCCGTTGGCGTTTGAAACGCAAGTGCAAAGGTCTTCTTTTATTATTTTATGTTTCCAGTTAAAAGCCTGTAATCTTTTTGAGTACATCCCCACACCTCAATCCTCACTGAAACCACCAAATCAAACCCAAGCTGCCCCATTCTTTTGGTTGAGTTCTGTAGTTATGGTTTTTCAGTGGCTTTTAGTGTTGTTTGGGCTCTCTCTATTCATTAGACTACTTCCTTTCAGAATGTTGAGGTGCATTTTCTCTCTATTTTTGTTCTCTTTCCGAATTATAGAAATAACTGGTCCATATTGCATATATTACAAATTACAATGGCCTTTCAAAACTTTTATATTCCTAGACAAAAAACTCATGGTCTATTCTAATTTATCAAGAGTTATAGATGAGGTTTTGGATTTGTATTATTAAATTCTTTCATCACACTTGTATTCTGTCCTGTTTACTTAGGAATCGTTTGTGGAGTGGCCTCCAGTGGAAGATCAAGTCCAAGAGAGAGAAAAAGAAAGGGTGCAACATCAATGAAGGCTGTAGTGATAACCACTCCAGGTGGACCAGAGGTCCTCCAACTACATGAAGTTGAAGACCCAGAACTCAAAGACAATGAGGTCCTAATAAAAGTTGAGGCCACTGCTCTGAATCGAGCCGATATTCTTCAGAGGAAGGGCATGTACCCACCACCCCCAGGTTCCAGCCCATACCTGGGTCTCGAATGTTCTGGAACCATTGAGGCCGTTGGGAAGCAAGTCTCCCGCTGGCAAGTCGGTGACAAGGTGTGTGCTCTTCTTAGCGGAGGAGGGTATGCTGAGAAGGTGGCAGTTCCAGCTGGACAAGTCCTTCTTGCTCCACCTGGTGTTTCTTTGCAGGATGCTGCTAGTTTTCCCGAGGTTTCATGCACTGTTTGGTCGACTGTGTTTATGATGAGTAGGCTATCTGCTGGCGAAACATTTTTGGTTCATGGGGGCTCCAGTGGAATTGGTACATTTGCAATTCAGATAGCTAAATACTGGGGAGCAAAGGTGTTTGTCACAGCAGGAAGTAAGGAAAAGTTAGCTTTTTGCAAGAATCTTGGAGCTGATGTATGCATCAATTACAAGACGGAGGATTTTGTTGCGCGGTTAAAGGAAGAAACGGGTGGCAAGGGTGTTGATGTTATCTTGGATATCATAGGGGCAGAGTACTTTCGGCGGAACCTTGACAGCTTAAGTTTTGATGGGAGGCTTTTTGTTATTGGGACGATGGGTGGTGCTGTTACAGAAATAGATCTTCGCGTTGTGCTTTCGAAGCGCCTTACCATCCAAGCTGCCGGCTTGCGATACAGAAGTCCAGAAAACAAAGCAGCGATTGTTAGGGAGGTGGAAAACAATGTGTGGCCTGCAATTGTGGCTGGCAAGGTGAAACCTGTGGTCTACAGGTATTTTCCATTATCTGAAGCAGCAGAGGCTCACCTGCTCATGGAAAGTAGCAAGCACATTGGAAAGATTCTGCTTCTTCCCTGATGATATGAATGTTAAGTATTTTGTAAGGTTGTGAATTCACTTCGTGTCCTTCTTCAGATTCATGCAAAATTGGTTCATCTTAGTCAAAAGCAGGCGAAAGAATCTGTTGTGCAAAGAAATATTTGCTTCATCTTTTCAATTGAATCCGTTGAGCACTTGGACTGTTTTTATCATGAATAGAAAATTGTGAAGAATTGATTACATGTGGCTCCTAGCCACGTGAGCATTGCAAGGGTTTAATGACCATTAAATGCTTATTTCTGAATTGACAAATAGACGACGACGGTTGAAGCTTTAAAAATAGTCTCAGAAAATGCACTTCACACATCCATTTTCAATAATAGAAAAATAGATGTAGTAAGGCACATACCACGTCTATTTTTGCAAAGCAATCAACGTAATACCATGTCTATGAGTTTAAAAAAATAACGTGGTAACACTTACTACGTCGTTTTTTAAGATATAGGGACGTAGTTTCAAACTTCGAGTTTTATTCCAATTGAACTTGAACAGTGTTACTTTTGGGAACAAAGCAACGTGGATTATCTCAAACCACGACGGGGAATCACCGCTGTGGTTTGAGTTTCTAAAGTATGTTGGTGGAATAGATGTCGATTTTTTTACCAAGAACCATGACAGTTTCCTCCGTCCTTTTTTTGGCATAGTGAAGGCTTTAAATCATGATAGTGTTGATATCTCTTTAACGAAGAAAGTAAAAGTTAGAACATGTATAACACCAAATCAATATCAATTTGACATCTTTAACTAAGAACTAAGTGAAAATCAACCAAATCAAAGTCAAAATCAGTTGGAAAAAAAAAATCAAAAAATATATTTTACTTTTTTCTTTACGAGTGGGTTCAAACCACCTCCTGATTTATAAATGAGATACTATTCCAACGTGGTACTTTTTAACACTTCTTGACGAGTGGGTATAATACCACGAAGTAACTAAATCCGTAACTCACCAAACCAAATTTGATATATCAAATCCATATTCTTAAACAAACATAACCAACAAATCTGAAACTACATCATGAATCAAATTCTTAACCAGATTTTAAGAATGGCGGTAAATTGTATGCAGGCTTAAAGTCAAACTGCGGGTCAAAGCTCACCATGAATGTTTAATATATACATGCTACGTACTGCATGTATTACTTCGCCTATTCATGAATCTGGATTTGAGGTATCTCATATCATGAAGAATAACTGAAACTAATATAAATAAAGTTTTATGTGCTCCTACTTAACCCCAAAAAGACAGTCGTCAAATGGGCTTTTGCTTGGTACCTTGTCCATAAAATGATTGATCGGCTGTTATTTTGTCAAAACAAGACACCAAATTGGTATTTTATCTAAATTTTCCCAAGAAAATACATACATATATATACAATGCATTACACTGTTTTATTGGGTCAAGTATACTACTAAACATGACAAAACTTTCTTTGCAAACGAGTCAGTTTCAACTCGATTGCTAGTGTTACTTTATCTTTGGTGTCATCAAAAAACCGAAAATAAGCATATCTCCATGATTTCTTCATGAATAATGTGCCACAAACACCCCAAAAGCCTATGATAAAGCCAAGTACCATGCCCACATAGAACCAAATCTTATCATTTCCATCTTCATTATAGTGTTTTGCATTCGTAATGGTCAAAGTGTCATCTCCAGGGCACTTAGTTGGAAGAGGAAAGCCACAAAGTGATGGATTGCCCATATAAATGGAAGAATCAGTGAATGTTTGAAGTTGGCAGCCCAAAGGAATTCTCCCCACCAAGTTGTTATTAGCCAAATTCAAGTGCGACAAGAATGTTAAATATTCAAGGGTTTGAGGAATTTGTCCTGAAAGACGGTTGTTTGAAAGATCAAGAGTTTCGAGCTCATGCATATTTCCAACAACCGAGGGGATGTTACCAGTCAAATGATTCCTCGACAAGTTCAAGGTACCCAATAAAGTGAGGCCACCAATTTCTTGAGGGATTTCACCTTCCAAAATATTTGATGAAAGATCAATGCTCTTTACCAGCATTAGAGTGGTGTTATACACACGTTCTTGTCCTTTTAATGTCACCATGGTTTGTGGAAGATAGTAGTCATTGTATATATTGGAAACATTATGGACGAGAGAAGTCAAATTATTGAAACATGTGGGAATAGTACCTGAAAAGTTGTTGTGGCTGAGGTCGAGGATGTGAAGGTAGCCAAGATTGCACAATTGTCGGGGAATATGTCCAGTAAAAAAGTTGGATCGCAATCGTAGCATGCACAACATGGATACATTTGATCCTCCTATCCATGGAGGTATGCTCCCAGATAATTTGTTGCCTCCAAGATCGATACTTTTCAAAACAGAGCAATTGTGCAAAGAATCGGGAATCTTATCGCCAAAATTGTTGTTGTTGAGCTTCAATATTTCAAGAGAACTTAATATTCCCATTGAAGTGGGAATATTACCAGAGAGATTGTTGTAGGCAGCATCTACAATGGTTATTTGGCTCCACGAACTCCAAGTGTGGGGGAATTCTCCAGAAAAATGATTGCTCCTCAGGGAAAGGACTGTCAGGTTTTGCATGTTGCAAATAGAAGGTGGAATTGTACCATTCAAATGATTTTCCGAAATATACAATTCTTCCAATTTGGGCATCAGTTTGTCAAAATTTGAGGGAATTGGCCCATAAAATAAATTGCTTTCAAGATCAAAGTAAGATGCATTAGTGGACCAAAGTGGGAGTGGACCCTCAAATTGATTATGAGCCAAATTTAATAAACGTAACTTCGGAAATCTCATCAATTGGTTGGATGAAAGCCTTCCTCGGAATTGGTTACGAGATAAATCCA